ACTAAATGTTTGGATTTCTAAAATTATTGTGCACTGATTTTTCTAGAATAACTTTTGCTGCCGAATTATCCACTAACCTAGCTTATGATAAGTTTTTGTCATAGATTATAAATATACATAGGCCTATAATTTTTCATATTTATTGTTTATTTTAATTTTCTTTATAATGAAGTAGTCTGTATCTAGTAGATTGTGAAAGAATGATTATCTGTTCCACACACAGAGATATGCCCCAAAAATGCAACTCCACAGGGCAAATATCGTACCTTAATGGAAAAGTTAATTTCTGACCCTGATGTGGCACATTTTACTGTGACCAAAAATGATGCTAGAGTTGCAGTATGTAAAATTTGTTCGCTTGAAAGCATCAAGAAAGGCTCATTGGCCAAAGAATTTTTCTCGTCTCATTTATCACCTAAGAACAGAAAGAACCCTGAATACCAAGTTCAATTATCAATTCTCTAAACTTTTTCATTTTGGTTAAAAAAAATCACTAATAATCTACATGGCTGCACAATCCCATGTACAGTCTAGCGTTTCTCAACCAGGGGTCCGTGCACAAAGAAAAAATAAGACTCACGTCCACTTCAGACAGGGTCTGAGTCCAGCGGTAGTTTGAAAGATCTGCTCCGTTTCCAGCATTGGGCTTTATCTTGTCTTTGTCCTTTTCATCTTCCTCTCCTTCTGAGTCCGACTGACACACACATTACACACACACACACACCAGTGAGCATTAGACAGTAATCTAGAGCCGCTCAAATATACATCATCAGTTCACTTTTCACTCGTATATTTAACAATAATGAAATAAACCCCACTTACCCCTTTTTTGTCTTTTTCTGATGTAACGCCGTCTGTTTTCTCAGGTACTCCTGCATTTTTCTTGGCTTCTTTTGTCTGGGAAATAGTGAAAGTCACAGATAAATCACATTTGATGCTTACATGATTTTAAAGGGACAGTTTACCGGAAAATGAAAATTGCGTCACCGTTGACTAACGCTCATGTCGTTCCAAACCCAGTATACTCAGGTTTCATAAACTGTGATCAAAGCTGAATTTTCAGCATTATTACTCCAGTCTTTGTGTCACATGATCCTTCAGAAATCAGTATAATATGCTGATTATTATTTTTTTCTCTTTAGTCTTATTTAATTGTTCTTTCTGTTCTCGCGTCATATTTATATGCATGTACCAAGAGCTCCTAAAAAAAGCACAACAAATTCCTTGTCTGTTTGCACACACTTGGCGAATAAAGCTAATTCTGATTCTGATTCTTCTGATTTGCTGCTCAAGAAACATTTCTAATTATTATCACTGTTGAAAACAGTTGTGCTGCTTCATATTTTTGTGGAAACCGTGACACTTTTTTATTTTTCAGGATTATTTGATGAAAAGAACGTTCAAAAGAATAATAGAAATCTTTTTAACATTATAAATGTCTTTACTGTCACTTCTGATTAATGTAATGCATCTTCACTGAATAAAAGTTTTCATTTTTATTCAAAGAAATACATCTTATTGACAATATCTCACTGGTAGTGCAAAATACATTTATTATATATTTATTTTTTTCCATATTGATGGCAGAATATTTTAACTGTTGGGTGAACTATTCCTCTAAGAAAAACAAAAACATTAAATCATTTTCTATATATTTCTGGAAATATATAGAAAGGGGACATGACTTAAAATCTTAGTCAATACAGCTGACAGCAAATTCAGTCCAAATCCAAACAGTGTTGCCAGATTGGGCGGTTTTGAATTTGATTGAGCGGTTAAAATTGGCTTGGGCGAGTGGACAAAATTTGGGCTGGTTTGGGGTCAGTTTGACGGTTTTCAAACATATAAATTGCATAGGCTAATTGTTTAACAAAACAAGCCCAAGTATGTATAGCCTACTGCATCCAATCAGTCATCATAACGTTACTACACACACACACACACTGCAGAGGCGCTGGTGCTGATGTAAACGTCGACAGCCGCACTTATCACGAGGGCTCAGCAGACAGACTAATTATAGACAGATTCATGAGTGACAAGTTTTTAGCGTGATAAGTGATAACGTATCTGATTTTGAATGTAGTATGACTGTATATTCAAGTAATCACAATGCCTAAATATAAGTTAAAGAGTGGGAGAGTGACTCAACTCTCAAAACGTGAATTATTGTGGAGATGACACGAAGGCTCTATCACTGCAACTCCGAAATCAGAGCACATTTGAATTAATCATAACCGAAACTAAATATGTCGGTTTATACGATCATGCCTTTTATCTTTTAAACGTCCAGATTGATAAATCCTTGAAAAGTGCTAGACTTGATTAGTTTTGACTGTGCAAATTTCTGTATTATGTTCTTCAATATGAACTTAACAAGAGGCTTCCTCTAGTTCGGTGTAAAATTATAGAGCGACACGAAGGTAAGCGCATTATTGTTGTTGTTAGGCTATTTTTTTAATTGTCGGATTATAATTAAGTATCAACGAATGACACAGTTTTGAGTTGACTGTCATGGTGTGCGCATGAACG